TTGGTATTTCATGATACAGCTACAAGTGATTAAGGATGGAGAAATTCTACAGCATCATAATTTCTAAGAAAACTCAGTGCCTTCAACGACCAAATTTTAATTTTTAAATTGTCACTTATTTGCTGCCTAACGCAAGTGAGATTCCTCGGAAAGTGACATATTTCTGTAAAGCAGGTGACAATTTCCTTCTCTATTCATCCCTAAACATTCTGTGTTACAAATAATTAGCATCTTCTTATTCTCTTTCAAAACTTACAGGCAAATTGTAATTTTTTATAAAACAGAAGGAAAAAAGTACATAGGGAATTATGTAAACTAAATTGCACTTAAATGTATTTAATGTTTAAATTCAAGATCCTCTGAACTTTGCCAAATTTTTTGTATTATTGCCATCTATTTTATTGAGTATGGTTGCTGGCATACCAATTCAAAAGTACTAGAGGCCCTCAGCATTAAAAAAAAAGTTGGTCTATATTATATTCATTCACGTTCCTTGCAAAGACACCATTTTCTACAGTATCAAGGGGGGATGCTAACCCAATTTATCAGTTTAGCTAACATTGACAGCACTTAACAAATTTTAAATCCTCACATTTCTGAAATACTATCTGATCCCTGCAAAATTGATCTAGAAATCAGTACTGTTATATACAGTATTTTATGATGTAGAACATTGCCATTCTAAAATTATGATGCAGAACTTTGTGATTCAAAAGGTCCTGATTATCCAAAAGCTCTTGCCCACTCTTGTCCCAGTAATGAGGATTTTTGGGAGACAGCAAAGCAAGCGGAGATAATAATAGGCAACACAAGACACAGTGGAGGAAAAGCTAAAAGCAAACCAGATTAGTTTTTTTTTATTTTATTTTCTATGAATTCTTCATTTTGGGCCTCTTCAAACAGGGATGTTTCATCTTGTCATATCTACTGGTTCCCCTTTATCCTCTGTTTATTCAACATTATTTTAATAACCTGTCCTGAAGAAATACAAGGATTCTGCTCTTGGTCGGTGCTTTGGAGTTCACCCCTTTAAGAATACTTATTTTTATTGGCAGACATAACGGAAAGTCATTTGGGGAAGCTGGATTCCTTTAGTGACTTCATGGTTCACTTAACAACCAATGTAAAGTGATCATAAAATCGGTCTGGTGGCGTGATGACTTGCTTAACAACTGTATCACTTAGTGATTGAAATTCTAGTCCCCACTGGGATTGTAAGTCGAGGACTACCTGAGTTAGATAGAGATATACAGGTGCTGCTGCCCAGTTAACAGGGATTAAAGAATTTTTTAAAGTCAAGAAATCTTTTGGAAGCAGATCAAATACCTCCTTAATTCACTGAATATGTTCATCAGGACTTCACCTATTTTGAAGTTTTCTTCTGAAGGAGGAGGAAGGATAATGCAATTAGACTTGCAACATTCCGTTAATGTAGCCAATTCTAATAAAAATCGTTTCAGCCATCTTGTAGAGTTTATTTCATGATATGGTCTGCCTAGTGAGGCTCACACCTTGGGAGATTCTTCTCTTTGCTATTTAGAACCACTGCCAGAGAAGCAATAGCAGTAGCACTTAGACTTCTATACCGCTTCACAGTACTTTACAGCCCTAAGTGGTTTACAGAATCAGCATCTTGCCCCCAACAATCTGGCTCTTCATTTTACCAACCTCAGAAGGATGGAAGTTGAGTCAACCTTGAACTGATCAGAATTGAACCTCTGGCAGTCAGCAGAATTAGCCTGCAATACTGCATCCTAACCACTGCGCCACCAAGTCATCTTGGGTGAGAATGATAGACCAAGCAATTTCACTTAATTCATCTTGCATTTTCAAGATTTGAAGCTCTGGGAGCTGGAATCCAAATAAATGTAGAAGGCACTAAGTAAAGGATATGTTCTAGGGCAGATGAGATGATAGATCTGTCCATATAGTACTTAAATTAAAAAAAAATCACAGAAGACAATGTACATGGAAATAAGGAAAGTAATTTAAACAGGTTTCTCAATGAGTGAAGGGGGAATGAATACTATGGTGCACCACTTCCAAGCAGAGGTCACATAATTTAGCAAGTAACAGTCAAGATGGACTGAATCTCTTCACATTCTCTTACGAAGACTAGAAAAAATATACCTTTGCCATGTTTTAGGAAGCAAGAAAAGACTGCATACGTAGACTAAAGAACAAGATGAAAACAAATGCATTCGAATAAGTCACAGTATTAAGACCTATATCACTTTGCTAACTAAATATAAAATTGCATCAATTGAAAATGTTCATGAGTACTTCACATATTTTGAAGCTTTCTTCACAAGGAATTCTTGCACCGACTTAGTATTTATACACCAGCCTTAATCAGCTCATACAGCTAAGACATTTCACTGATTCAGCCTAGAGACCCATATGTAAACTCCACAGACAGATAAGCATTAAGCAGAATTGCCAAAACTGAAGCATGAGAATTTTGGGTACAGATACCAGATATTGTAATTGTTAATGTAACAGAAGGGGAAACTTACTGTATGGAGAGAAATTAACTACTGATTTTAATTCATTTGATTCAATTTAACAAATTTAGTTTTTTGATGTGATGCTACCCACTGTTAAGAATGTGGCCAGTAGTACATATTCAAAGATTACATAGGGCTGTCAATCTTATACAAGATGCACATGTGTGGTAAAGTAATGAGAAAATATTCTGCCACATTTTACCTTCTCTCTTTACCTCAACAAATTTACAGCACAGCACTCTCATATAAAGTACTAACTTGGAGTCAGTTTTATTTCAAAGTATTAATTAAGTTGCATAGTATGGTATATTTATCCACTTTGGGAAGATCATTATCTTTGGTCAAAGTAAACATGACTTCATTTTTTTTTATCCTGTATCATTTTTTTTCCCTCCTCCCAACCTGCTAGAGCAGACAAAACAGCCTGGATTAGTTGCAACGGGGAGGGAGAATTGCCCAAATCTCCATTGGAAACACTTCCAGACATGAATCAAAGTGACTTCTTATCATGAACAGACCAAATGCCATTCAATGTCTGAATACCCTATGATGCTTCAGCGGGAAAATCCAGCACATTTAAAACGGGAATCCTTACTAACCTGATTGTTCTTCTTTTTCTTCTGAGAACAAATAAGTTAAAAAGATAACAGCTGCAAATGTGAGAGAGACTGAAATGAAAAGGCTGGACCCTGCTACTGAGAGGTCCAGTGAAAACCACATAACCAGGACATGAGTGCTGTCCTGTATGATATTTATAGATACTATATGAGGCTCCAGATAGCTGCTTCTGTTACACATCTTTCTTATTGGTGGATATAATAGTCATGTCCTTACACTGAAATTGTGATGCTGGCTTGTAAGTACATTCAACTTTAAAGGTCTACATTCAATCTATTCTACAGGGCTATAATAATCCTAATCTATGAATTCTATGAAAGGAAGAAAGAGAGAGAGAAAGAAAGAGAGAGAGAGAGAGAGAGAGAAAGAAAGAAAGAAAGAAAGAAAGAAAGAAAGAAAGAAAGAAAGA